GGAGGACAAGCCTCCAAAAGCTTCAAATAGGTGGCTTCATTCCAAGAGGCTCTGAGCTAAGGTTGTCATCCACACCATGGTGAAGTGGGGGAGGAGGAGATGGGGGTGCTCATAATAACAGCAAGTCTATCCAATGAAAGGTTCCAGTATACTCACCCCCAGATATTTCCATACTTTTTAAAACATTTCTTGTCAAAATCCCATACACCCTATAAGGAGAAACAAAATTAGATTATTAATCTAAATAAATATACTGAACCCTACCTCTTATTGGGACAAAAATGACCCAAATCCCTTGAAATCAGGTTTACTGGCAGATAGTGGGAAGCTCTTACTCAGAGGTGTTTTAGGAAATGGAGAGAAAGTAAAAGAGATATTTGAAACAGAGAACTTCAAATCGCTCTTGAATTTTCTCTGAGTAGTGTAGATACTGAACAACTTAATTTTGTCTGTGATATTAAGTAACTCCTTGTCTCTTGGAAGGTTTTTTTTGGCACATGTGTTGTCTCTAAAATCTCATAATCCTCTGAATTATTACCTCCATGGACACTGACAGCTGAAGCTGAGAGAAAGTGAGCATGGCCTGCACACTCTTTGGTCTCCTGGTTAAGCATTATTTTCATTTATCTCATGAGCCCTATCTACAATTCTAACGGAATTAGAGAGTTTGAGACACAAGCGACCTCTTTTATTCTAGTAGATTTAAATAAATCTAAGACACGTTTGTTGAGTGAGAAACTGAGTGAGGGGATGAATGACAAAGTGGATTTGCCCTCCAGTTTTCCAGCTCAACACAGAAAAGATGGGGAGATGGTACCACTCTACCAGGACAGAGCAAATTAACACACTTTCTCTGAGTTTCACTTCTGTCACCTAAAAAACATATCTTCCTATTGCTGTTTCAGCTATGATATTAGATGTTTTAACTGTGTAAAAGAAGGTCCCAGAAATGTGGGTCTAGGGGAGTATCTATAAGTAGTTGATCTGGGCATGGAGGAAAGGAAATTATTGCTTTTTCAAAAGGAAAAATGTATGGGAAGTTCTTAGACTAATAGAAACACTGAGGACCTCAGTTAGGAGAATTAGGATCTGGGCTGTGGGAAAAGAAATTTGGGGCAAGAGCAGCCTGCATGCAAAGCTCTGCCTTCTGGCCTTATGGGTGTGAGCTGGTAACATTTGGTCCAGGGACCAAGCCCCCGGTGTCACATAAGGACCGGATCAATCACAAAGGCTGCACCAAAATCCACAGTCCACATGTCAACTAGTATATTCCATTCAGTTAAATTCAATGTTTAATAATTTTNCAATTAACAAGCTCTGGACATTTCTGGATGATGGATTTGTTCAAACTGTCCAATTGCCAACAGTACACATTTGAATTGATTGTTTGGTTCCTTGGTAGGAGCTCAAAAAATACAACACCTTTAAAATTCCACCATACTTGAGAGCATAACCTTCCTCTGATGAATGTCTGCTTTCAATGTTGTTTCATCGAATCATCTCGTTGGGACCAAGACTGTTTGCGCACCACATTGCTGTGAACAACCCACTTTTGTGTGTGTGTTTTGTAATGTGGGTTTGACTCGATCAATGCCTTTATTTTGTTGTCATCAACCTTAGTGGGCCTCCCTGACCAAGGAGTGTCATTGAGATAAAAATCACCAGCACGGAATTTCGTGAACCATCATTGGCACTGATGTTCTTGTAGAGCATTGTCACTATAAGCTTTATGCAACTTTTCACAAGCTTGATGCACGTTCTTCCCTTTATGGAAGTAAAACAGTAAAATATAGCAAAAATGCACAATTTGGTCTTCCATCTTCAACTTGTTGTAAAATCTCCAAAAGTCAACCAAATCGCTCAATTTTTTAAAGAATGAAGCTAGAACTGTCAGCTGTCAAATGACATAGCAACAGCATAGATGCGAATGACTCTAGTACTTCCTAAAATGAACTAGTGCCATCTGTCGCAAACATGCATCATGACTTTTCTGACAACCCAATAGCATACAAGCACCACGTTACACCTCTCCCGCTGCTCTCACCACACCTTCAGCAGCTCCGAAGGGGAACAGCTGCTGTAACCGGCTGAGGCCACTCCATACAATCCTCAAGTCCATCAGCCCACCAGGAAACAGGGTGGTTTGGAAATATACTACATCTCTTCAAAGTTAGTAGAATAGGGTAGATAAAGTGATACTTGTATGAACTAAGTGTCTTGGCTTAAAATTCATTTAAAATTCCAAACTCTATATTTGTGGAGAAAGTAAAAAATACTGAGCAGAAATAGTTTTCCATTCTGTGTACCTATACCCACAGCCCCTTTTAAAAAAATTATTATTATTAGTTTCAGGTGTACAAAACAATGCAATTGTTATCCTTTTCATCCCTCACAAAGTGACAAACTCCCTCCCCCTTCCACTGCACTCCCTCTACCTGCAGCCCTTTTAAAAAACTACATAATAAATCCAGATTTTAATTTTAAAATGTTTGGATTATAATAACAGTGAATCATGTAGAAAAGGGAAAATGACATGCATTTATGAGCATAGTAGAAAGCTCTGAAATAATGCATTTTATCCAATTAAAGGTGACCTAAGGAAAGAAAAAATGGAGAACAGGCCAATTATCAACCACTGGACAGAGAGTGATGTCAGGAGTCCCTGGGCCATCAAAGCTGGAGAGTAGTGATAACCTGCACCTCTCCAGCTTGATTCAGAATGTAGACCTGGACACCTGGTGATATATTGGATCCCTAGGAGGACAAGCCTCCAAAAGCTTCAAATAGGTGGCTTCATTCCAAGAGGCTCTGAGCTAAGGTTGTCATCCACACCATGGTGAAGTGGGGGAGGAGGAGATGGGGGTGCTCATAATAACAGCAAGTCTATCCAATG